AAATAGCTACAGACAGATTCAGTGCAAGAGCAAACACGGAAGATGGTATAACCTCTAGATGCAGGATTAAGTTTCAGAATCTTCATTCTCTATCTCCTGTTGCTCTGGCCCTCGTTAGCCCTCAAGCCATCGCTCTGTACTAGTGTGTAGCAAAGAAACGCACACAGGCCTCTGCAGAGCTAGTCACCTAGCAGAGGGCCTGTACCCCTTTCACAGTAACTTCAGATCTTTGCACTGGAGTATGTGTGGAAGTCCAAAAGAGCACAGTATTAAATATATTTCTGGGTAGCTTATGTCCCCTTCCAAACCATTGCATCTACAATTTGCTAAATTTTGTTAATGGTTATTTCAGTAGCAACAATGGAAGTACTAAAGGTGAAAGCTTTTAGAATACGTGATTTCTTGTCTCAGCCCTTTGCCTTAAGCTTGTCAGCAGTAGCTGCATTGCAGCAATGGCTTTGCAAAAATTGTCAGTTGTATACAGAGCATTGAAAGCTCTGTCAAGCACCCATGGTCTTCAGTAAAGCATTATTGCATTTGGAAGGGCTAATGAAGTTTGGGAAATCCAAAATTTTAGAAAGGTTAAACATTCAGCAAAATTACTACTACAGATTAAATGGATTAGGTTATTGGGTATGTTCATCTAAGGAGAAAAAAATAGTTACCTTGGTCTTTGTATTATTTCACATAAGCAGAGTTCTGCTTTCACTTTCATCATCTTCAATACCACTCAATTTAGTACAGAAGCACAGGGTTCATATGAGGCCAGAATTTGGTCTTCCAAGTTCACATACAACTAAATCCTATTTGGCAGAACTCATTTGGTGGCCCCTAATGAATCCATTCATTATGAGAGTTTGGCTAATTAATGGTTTAAGGCTGCATCATATTGCCTGAACAGATCTCAGACAAATGGGTCTTGCACAAGATTGCTTCTTCTGAAGCTCAGAAACCCTGTTGGGCTGGAAGAATGCAGCCAAGACTTATGGATGCAGCCCGCTGTCACAACACAATAACCTCCAAAGAACGCTACATGCCTGCTTTGTAGCTTAGCATCCTGCACAGTGACCTACAGCAATCCTGCTGTCTGCCAGGCTTTTCTTGATCCCCTGTTAGGCTCCAGAGGTTGGCCCTAATTGGAGAATACAATTTAAGGTGAAAAACATGTCTTGGTAATGCTCAAAGTCTAATAAATATGCAGACATTCTTTTCCATTAGTTTGTATTATCTTTGAACTATTCTTTTCTTAAAAGAATGTCCTAAGTTCTCATTTTCAAAAGAAATCATTTTCCATGCAAAGTAAGAGCCATAAGGAAGGTAATTATAATGGGATTTTAAATAATTCACTACCATTTCTTTGCCAAAACAACCCCGTGTTCTCATATTTTGTTTTTACAAGCTCTAAAATTTGTCCTGCAATTTACTAATATTAAAAATACAGAATAAGCCACTGACATATTCCCAGATCAAATGTTTCTGTTTTCTAACAATAAATTTGGCTACCCTCCAGTAAGCAGCAATTTGTTTGAAAACCTAAAAATCTTTAAATGTTGTTAATTGCTCTGAAAATGTGGTGAAATGGATCTTTTGAACATGAACATTTGCAAATGGAAGATGTCTTACTTTGAGAGTTTGTAATGTTACCTTTCCTAATCTTCCTGTAATATTCAAAGTAGTTTCTTCTTCAATTAAGCAAAGCCTAGAGGTAGAATTGAATTCCCTCTCACTTTTATTGCTGACCCTAACACACAATCAGAGAGGATGTATTCCTAATAGAAGAATGTTCTGCAAACCAGTAAATCTGGGATTATCTCTTCGAACTGATTATGTCAAAGCTCTTTAGCCATAGCACTTGTGGAGAACTAAAAATAAACAGGAGGAGGTTTATACATTTATTTTGTACCTAAATAATCTGTGTGTTTTGTGTGCGTCTTTCTACAGTGTGAGACATGGTATCTGGACTTAATGTTTATTTATAAGAGTTCTTTTCCTAGTAAGGATTTTGGCTAAGGGTTTAAAACAAACCATCCTACTAGTAGTGGTCAAGGGATAAAGTCTAGTGCAAGTGTAAAACAACTCAGTTCAGATCAGGAGCATTTACAGCAAATTGACATTTGAGCAAAATTTGGTCATATATGTTTGGTCTCATATATGTTGAAAATGGATGAAAAACTAATTCTCTTCTCCTTACTGGTGAATGAACAATGTCACGCTATTGAATAAAGAAAATCTGACTCCTGAGTTAAGTGCCACAATGCTGCACTATTAAAGATCATAAGAATTTTTGCATTTATTCATAAAAGAACAAAATCAGATTCTTATGACAGTTAGCAGAAAGTAAGGCATGCTGTCTTTTGCCTCCTGGTCCTAAAGCATGTATGAGGAACATCTTCTGAAGAATAAACACTTAACTAAGAATTTTTTAATTGCTTACATCAAAGACCCATGAATGCTTTTTCACGCAGCTCTTGTATTCCATTGCAGTTTCTTCCGTTTCATAGGATTCATACTGCGTGCTCATGAGAAAATAGAGACAAAGATATATGTCCGTAGCAGGTCAAGACATGCTAGACAGGAATACGTATGGATGCTGAATGGGAAAAAGTATAATTTAAAAATAATTTTGTTCGTAGTTACATTCAGTAATGGATTGCTGAGAAATGGCTTGATAAAAGCTGGCAGTATAAACACTTAAATAGTACTGCAGGCAATAAAACTCGCATTGGCAAAGGGCCGGACTGGATGGAGTCTAATTCATTCAGCTTCTGTGATTCTGCATTATTGGAATGAGTTCTGCATCTTTATGTAGATAAAGAAAATCACATACTGGGACTTTAAATTAGAGTGCTATATTCAATGTTAAGCACTTCTGGACATCATAGAAAACATTACAGAAAAATGCAGCAAAGACATTTTCCTTAGTATATTTATGAACAAAAAATAACGAATACCTATGTTGCAGAAAAATGGGAATGATACTCTTGATTAGACAGATTTCTTCTTAAAATGGCATACTATTCACAATGCTCTCATAAAATATGTTGTATAAGAACTATACTCTTTGTAGCCTTCATGTTGTCTATCATGTATATTTATACATGATATATGCATGTATATCATGTATATTTTCTAAAGGTAAGCATTGGAAATTTCTGGAAAGTTGCCTTTTTTCCTGGGAACAATGACATATTCACTTGCTGAGAATGAAAAGATGAGTAAACTTGAGAATGGTCAGTATCTGCTACATGGTGTTTTATGTGGTTACGGTGTTGTTACCTCCTATAGTTTTTTAATTTTTGTAAAATTGATCCCTGCAGATCCAGTAAAGTGATGCAAATTTTTGTAATATATTAATGAAGCAATGGGATCCATTTAGTGCCACTCTGACAAAAAAAAAAACAAACAAACAAACAGAAAGAAAAAAAAGTATTGCTTTTGCACATAACTGGAGCTTTTGGGGTTTTTAAGGGTAAGAGTTGAGGCTATTACCTTTTTCTGCCACATTTCGTTTTTCTTTCCTTTGTCCCTGTTCAGGCCCTGCTTCAGCTGAAGCAGTGACTACATTTACAAGTTATCAATTCAGAGATGGGTTAATCTAGTTAAAGCAACTCAGGATGTAATTTACACTATGATCCTAGTCCATATTTACCTCTTGGTGAGCAATTTTTTTCTTCTCACATTCAACTTATTCAGAGCTCAATACAGTGAAATGAAAGCTGTGACTGTGAGGTAGGATCATAGCACAGTCATGTCCCTGGAAAAGTGCTGCCCATATCTGTAAGTCAGCGTAGTGGAACACTGACTCTGACATTTGTACTTTGAAGTATCAGTACCCATAATCAGATGCTTCAGGAGAGGATGAAAAGGTAAATCCAGAGGAGTTCCATCATGGCATTTCATATTTAATTAAATAGGTGAAAATAAGCATGGGCTTTAAATACACTGTATGTTAAAAGAAGTGAGACTCACAGAGAAAAGCTGTTTGCCTTTTATGCTGTGTATGGTATGTCATATTTTTCAACGACTCCTTGAACTTATAATATATAATAAACTTATAATATAAAATTCATCTTTGCACTGACTTGACTATGAAAGCTGTGAATTTATTAGCAAGATTTTTCTTGAAGAGAAAAGAAGCGATTTCCTTTACCAAGAACACATTATTCCAGAAGGGAGAAGAGGCTGTCTTGCCCACACACAGTATGGCTAGCATGCATACTACCAGTCATAAGGTGCACAGTATTCTCACCCTGCAACAGTAAGCCTGTTTCATTTATCTGGCCTTACTGAGCCTTGAGCAGGTTCTTTCCATTCACATAGAAGCTTACCAGAAATTACAAAAGTAGCTTAGACTGCATTTTAAATGAGGTTCTAAGCTTTTAAAAAATAGTACCGACTCTACTGAGTTATTACTTACATGTGTAAGGACTGTGGAAGCATGCTCAGAATTTGTTCTACAGGGCATCTTAAGAACATCCTTTTTTTGATTTGTTCATCTCCCTTTTTTTGCAAGAAGAGGAATATCTTAATGATAGTAGAATATTAGTTCTGGTTCAAACAATTTGAGCATACTACTATGAGTTAATAGCCTCTGTGTTGTGATTCCATGTTTGGCCAATTCCCTCTTGACCACTATGCCTTGCCAGCTTGTTGGAGTTTGGCAAGGCTTTGCTAGTCTGGGCTGTGCAGTGTTGCTGGGTTAAGTGTCTGCATTTACAGGAAATGTCACCAGTTTGTATGAGGAGTCTCTTGCAAAAGCATTCTCTTTCATGTATTTGGAAATGAGAACTTCATTCCAGGTTCTTGCATCCAGAAGACTCCTCATTTTATTTGTAAAATCTCATATTTAGCCAGAAAAAAACAGAATCCTATATTGGAAAGTACTGTAATGATTGATACAATATGAGGCCTGAAAATTGTGGAATCCATCTGCTTTTTGTTTGTTTCTGAGACTGGTAAGCCTCTTTTGGGTTGCTAATGGCTTTCTTATTTCTTTTTAGTCATGTAACACAGACAACATCATGGATCCATCCGGTAACAAGTGCACTGAGCTTGCTTGGCCCTGAGGATGATGATGATGGAATAAGAGAGCCTCCCGGGTCCAAGAGCTGAAGATGTCTGTTGACAGAAAGTAGTTTGTCTAATTTGTATGGTAGTGAGAAGTGAGCATGATAGAGAGAAGATGTGCGGTTTTTAGTCTAATGTACTTTCCAGTCTAATGTAGTAGTAACTGATGATACTCCTCTCCTTGAAGTCAGCAGGGGTTCTGTTCATTTAGGTAGGTTTATCCATGGATGAAATTCACCCTCGAAAGATGCAGGCACTGCAGAAGACTCCCTTCAGTCTTTATCTGCCCCAGTTCAGTGTGCAGGCATCAGACTTATCTTAGGGCCTGATCCTGTCTTTTTATGACTTTCTTATTGCCATAACTCCACTGCCTTCCACTGATAGTTTCACAACTTTGACCAGCATGAGAGTAAGACTGGGCCCTTGGTTGTGCTTCATATGGCAAATGCCTGTTGATGTTTGACTAAAACACTCAAGGTGAGCTTGTGAGCTTTTTTTTCTTTTTTAACTAATGATAGTGGGTGTAACATAGATGTCTTTTCTGTAACTACTGAATTATCTCATTTTTATAAAAGAAATTTTTGAATTTATTTTGCTAACAGACATTTTCAAATTATTATAATTATTGGAGTCCGGATGAGTTTTTTAACAAGTACTAAAAGTACTTAAGAAAACAACTTAAGTTGTTTTCCACAAGAACAAGTACTTAAGATTGGTGATTGGGCTTTAGGAAAATGAGTCTTTGATAAGTTGTCAAGTAAAAAGAAAAAGTTTTGCTAGAGGACACCATACTCTCTCAACAATATGAGGCAAGAATGAAAATTATTCTACTTTTGTACTCTGCTAAACTGATACACACATGCATGAAATATTTTAGTGGAAGCTGTGAAGTTTCAAGTACAATGAAACCTGTGAAACCACCTCCAGGATCAGCAGAAATCAGTCACCTCCTCAAAGTTGGTCTTTAAGTAGAACAAAATCTTTTTGTAAACACTGGTGATTTAACGAGGATAAAGAAAACAACAGGAGGTGCTACTGCAACCTAATGAACAGGTTTCACTGCTCCAACCTAATGAACAGGTTTCACTGTACCCTGCTAGCACAGGATATTTTAATTTCGTTAAACATCTGATGCCTGCTTTGTCAAATATATGATTTTATGCTATATTATTCTGGAGACTCTTTATAGATACGTGTGCTGGTGTGTGTGTATGTGTGTACATATACATATGTATATATGCACATGTGTATCATATATATGGTGGGTTTGGACTAATGAATGAAATAAGGACCTGAAACTTTGCTGAAGCATTAGTGCATATGCCAAAGAAAAACTATTTCTAACATTAAGTCTAAGAAGGAGGGGCAGTATTGTAAGAGTGTGAGCAAGGCACAGGCTGCAACCTGCACTTTTCGGAGGAGCACACTTAAGGACTTCTGAACCTCCCTGGAAAGGTTCAGGCACCCATCTCCACACCAGCTCATCTCTCTTGGCTGATACAAAGGAACAAGGCTGCACTGTCACCTTTTTTGGAGGTCTGTCTCTGGCAGGTATGATTTAAAAATCAATGCACTTTGAAGTACGGATATAAAGACCTGACTTATTTGTCGTTCTGGTGCCTCTGCCACTCTCTCTATGACCTTTGTGTTACAGAGCTGTGCCAAGTCAGGCACACTGTAGCTGTTGACCTTTTTGAATCAAACATAATTTACAGTTTTAAAAGTATCTTCTTTGAACAGCAGCACAGCAATCTACTGCATATGGCCTGTCAGCTGTAGAGCACATCAAATGTTCTCCTGGAGGAACATGTACGGGAGTGATCTGAAGTACAGCTCAGAAAAGAGCTTTTCGCAGACTCTGCTGGAAGTAGGTGTCAGGATATACTCACTAAGCAAATAGGAAAATTTGTTTTGTACATTTAACTAGGTCAGAGCCACATTTTCCACGAATCTACACAAGTGGTATGGATTAGGAAGAAGAGCTTGCTCAGCAGATCCACAGTAACTTACATTTCCAAAAAAACTCCTCATATATAGCAATAGCCCTTAAGGTTGCAATGCTTCAGTCATATTTTGCTCCAGTGGCTCTTATGTACTTCTTCACTTCCTTCGTGTTCCCCCAGAACACAATCTTAAGGGGCAAAGCATGTGCTTCAGGTTCAGCGTTACACACTCTAGAAGCATTTTTATTTAAATCTTTAATGTAGCCTTAGTAGTAGTTAGAGTGCTTTCTTTATGATAGATGCTTTCAGTTCATACTTTTATGATAGGCAGATTGCATGTAGATTTTAGTTTTCCAATTCTGTGCAAGAAAGGTTGAATCTCCACTCGACTGTCACAGTCTTGATTTATTCTGCTAGTGGCTTTGTGACAGCGAGCCGAGTGTTTCAAATAGGAGAAGCTATTTAGGGACAGAGCTAGAGACTATGGATCAGGCAGGCTTCATCAGCAGAGACTTTCTAGAGACCTAACAGCAATTTAAAGCTGTCCTTCTATTAGATCAGCTGGAGGAGGACAGCTATGCACATACTGCTTGCCCTCCGCGAGGAGCTAGTAATGATCTCTTGCCCTGAGCATGCAACGCACAGCCTGCTGTGCACGAGAGGGGGAGAAATCAAGACAAAATGTTGGCGTTCTGCCGGCTCCGCTTACTCTCTCCGCCCACAGCTGAGAACATTTCAGAAGCTTGAAGGCTGTTTCTTCCTATCTCTTATAATTTTGCCTAGAAATTAAAGACATTTTAGAAATAGATCTCTGCATCCATCTAGCTTCTTCTCTGGTAAGTATTACCTCTTCAGATAATCTACTAGTTCAAATTCTCCACTACTGAGACTGCATTTTCATACCTACAATCTCCAAATGTTCTAATCTATTTTTGTAAGCTGGCATACTTGTTTCCTAGGTTATTTCTCTCTCTGTCTCCCGTTTTCTCTTCCTTTCTGTGAAATAGTTTGCAAAACTATTTTGATTAAGCTGAACAGTGTATGTTGAGAAAGCGCTTCTAGGATAACTTTAAAAAGAATTTGTAAAGAGCAGTTGTCAAAACATGCAACACTGTAAACAGCTACTTGTCATTTTTATTGCAGAATAAAACATTTTAAGTGGAAAAGAAATGAAAGTGCAACTTTATATCTTTTAAAATAATGAAACAAAAGTTTCATAAGGGGTTGGCCGCCGGGCCATAATTGATGCCTCCACCTGCATTTATCTTCTATGTACAGGCAGCACTGAGAAAAATACTGTTCTGGAACACACTGGTGTGAATCTTTACCTGAACACTTGCAGCACACTGCCCTTCAAATACTGCAAATACTCCAGTAAATTTGAAATGGCACATTCTCCATGATCAAAGCAAGTAGCTTAACACAAGTATCTACACAGGCATGCTACATACTCAGTTTAGTAGGTGCTAAATAACTTCCTAGTATCGCTACTCAGTGTCGCAATAAATTAGAGGATCCTTTCAGCAACCCCATCAGATAAATACATGCACACATACATACGTCAGCTGGCCATTCCATAAACAGCATATAAATATTCACGTAGTGGGCAGGCGTGTGTAATGGCCACCAAATGGCAGGTGTGTGGCCGCACTGCCTAACCAGTACTAAGCAACTGGTGTTTTAAGAAGCAAGTTAGTATAATGGCTACATTGTAGCTTTCTGCACTGAAGTCTACAGAAAAGATAAGGCTATTACGTAAGCAAATACATTCAGACTCTATGGATCTTTATGAGAGATCAGAAAAAAACAAAAACCAAAAAAAGTTGGTATTTACACACAGACATTTAACACAAGGCAAGCACACCACTTAAGTCCATCTGGACACAGCCTCAGAGCACTACATCTATTCTGACATTGATTTCATTTGGAGTCTTGAAGGCTTCACGTGGGATTGCAGCGTTGCTAGACTCCATACAGAGAACTTCACTTTAAAGTCTCAAGTAGCGTTATTCTCAAAGGATCATCCTACTCAGACTCTCTCTAGAAAGCCCCCTCTTTAAGACCATACCCTGTAAGACCATAAATGATGTAAACTACCACTCCTTTTTGTATTTAAAATCATTTGTAGTGGTGCAAATCTCTTGTGTATTTCAGAGATTTCAGTGATAGAAAGTACTTACTTTTTATGTAATTGAACACTTACAAATCACTTCGTCAACTACTCAGGCTGTCCGTGTTATTGAATCCAGTTTTTGCTTACTTTCTAGAACTGTTGTAGGCATGTAATGAGGCAAGTAGCCTTTTAACTAAAAACATCTGTAAAAGGGAGAGCGGCTGAATCCACTTGTCTTGTTCTAAGATAAAATTTTTCAGAAGTGACGAAAAACAATTTTGAAAAGGAACCTAGAAAAACAAATCAGGCTTGCCACAATTTCTCTGCAGGTCTCTGCGGAGCCTCACATTTTATTTACACTCCACAGAATTGTATTTTAAGGAATAGAATCTAATAGAATCCTATCTAGAAATTGGTTAGTGGCTTTGGTCTTTACTGTAAATTAAGCAATTAGAAATTACTTAGAATAAAGCAAAGAAATATAATAAAATGGGCAATTTCTGTTTCCCTAAAACCTCCTCTCTGTTACTGGTCCTTTTAATTAGCTGGTTTACTTCAGAATATGCTTGGTTCATAGGCACCATCTGTTGCATGGCCTAATCTGCCCCTCACCAAATGGAGTTAGCAAGTTATCCTCTAACACCCACTGGAATTGCTGTATTGCCAGAGAGAGATGGGTTTTCACAGTGCAGAAACTGCATTTCACTGTATGTGTTTTGCTGTGGAAGAGAAATCTGACAAGCTGGAATACGGAGAGACAGGTTCAGTCAAGCTAAGTGTTTAACACAGGTTGATCTGTCCCACGTAATGTTCACCATCTATTTAAATGCTTCTCGTGACAGGCAGTTTTATGAACCTGAAACAAATGATTTGGTATGTTTCTTTTCTGTTTCTGACAAGCAGGAGGATGTCTATTGGCATTTACTGAAGGCAAGTAAAATCATTTTAAGAAAACTGTTTGTGGTTGCTGACTAGGCAAGGTTGTGAAGGACTAATTAGGGGGAAAGGCTCTCTTCTCAGTAAATTCAGTTATGACCTGGCCTGTGAAATCTTAACTTTTCTGGGAAGTCATGGGATGCTCAACGCTCAGCTCAAGAAACTCAGTGGGAGCTCAGAAATCAAGAAACTCAGAAATCTTAATGCTTATTCCAAATCTAGCACCAAAATTATGTGGCTTCTTTGCAAATATTGGCCCAAGTGACTTTCGTAAGGTTCTAGCTCAAGTCAGGATGAAAATCCAAAACTGGCTCAGGATTACTTTTTCACTTCTGTGCTCAGACCTCAAGCCCATTCTGGCTCCAGGTCCCCATGCACCGTCAATACTGCTCAAAGGAGCATCAACTTGTGCTTCAGCTGCTGCAGACAAGCACAGCCACATCAGTTTAAATAGAGATACCTGTCAGCTCAGACTCCAGGGCCAGATTTACATAGGTGTTTAGCAGCTTAAAGATGCTGATGGAGTTAATGGGAATTAGGCACCTAACCTACTTAGATGCTGCTATAAATGCTGCTAGGCATCTTTAGGTACCCAAATACCTTAGTAAATCTTTCCCCTTACTGCTTGCGATGATGCTGTACCAAAAATCAAATACTAATGAACAAACCCTAACCTTTGTCCTCTGTAGCGAGCTTTGGCTTTCCCTAGGGATTGTTTCCATGTAATACTAAAAATATCATCCATTTCACAGGTTGTACTGTCCAGATTCTTTTCATATGTTTGGCAGCTTGATTATTTGCTGCTCATTCTAGATTTCTTTTTTCCCCTAGACAGTAGCTGATGTTGCCATGGATTTAATAAGTTGATATTTTTGTAACATTCTTTTGAGAGAACTTATTTTATTGCAGGCTAATATTATTGAGTTGTCTTCCCACAAAGATGCATTCAGACAGAATTTTGCATCATTCATCATTAAGTCATGTGGTTGAAAAAAACCAGAATGGGGCAAAATCTGTTACAAACAGAGCTTCCTGTTTCTAAATAGTAGGATGGGAAGCTGCAGTCTAATAGCCAATATTGATTTTGTCCCCATGGTACTGTGTCTGAGTCAAATCCAAACCAGTAAAGGCTGTTGATTAAAAGAGAATGTATGAAGGAAACCTGTTGCCAGCAGGTCGAGGGAGGTGATCCTGCCCCTCTACTCAGCCCTGGTGAGGCCTCACCTGGAGTACTGTGTCCAGTTCTGGGCTCCCCAGTACAAGAGAGACATGGCACTCCTGGAGAGAGTCCAGCGGAGGGCTACCAAGATGATTAGAGGGCTGGAGCACCTCTCCTATGAAGAAAGACTGCAAGAGCTGGGCCTGTTCAGCCTGGAGAAGAGAAGATTGAGAGGGGATCTCATCAATGTGTACAAGTATCTGAAGGGGGAGTGTCAAGAGGATGAGGCCAGCCTCTTCTCCGTGGTGCCCAGCAACAGGACAAGAGGCAATGGGCAGAAACTGAACCACAGGAAGTTCCATCTGAACCCGAGAAAAAACTTCTTCCCTGTGAGGGTGACAGAGCATTGGAACAGGTTGCCCAGAGAGGTAGTGGAGTCTCCTTCGCTGGAGATATTCAAAAGCCGTCTGGATGTGATCCTGGGCAATATGCTCTAGGTGACCCTGCTTGAACAGGGAGGTTGGACTAGATGATCTCCAGAGGTCCCATCCAACCTAAACGAATCTGTGATTCTGTGATTCTGTGAAAAAAAACCCATGTCCCTCTTGCCCCTAGTTATGCATCCTTATGAACATTTTGAGCAGTTAGCTTGTCCTCTCCAGATTCTACCCCTGAAGTATAGGCCTCAAGCCATAATTACAGATATAATCTGACGTAATAATATAAGAATCTCTTTTTACAACTTCTGGGATTAGCTGAGTTTAAATACATAGGGTTGAATACATTGTAAGGATATTTTCTTGAATTCGAGTGTGTCTCCTACGCTCAGCTATTCTCATCATAAGGAATAGGCTGATGACCTGCGTAGCAGTCAGAGCGATGCTCAAGATTTAATGGATTCTCGTTCTGCTTCTAACACTGACTTGCTGCAGAAGCTGTGACAAACTGCTAGGCTACTCTGTTCCACAGTTTGCTTTTTGTCATAAAAAGGGCCTTATGTACATGAATTTTTAACAGAAAAAAAATATGTATTTAAGTCCTGAAGAACAGGGCATTGGGCTAGGTTTTTTTGTTGTTTGAAGACAAATAAGAGTTTAGTCCAACATCTCAAAAAAATCCATAGCCTGTGTTCTCTTTTCAAATCATGAAGGATATTATGACATTGGACTGCAATTATATGATACCTTATTATTCATTGGGGGCGGCAAATCAGGGGGTTTGCTGACAGATGATTCTGTCAGAGGGAGCAATGCTCACTGGTCCTGGCAAGGAAGAGTCCAGCTTCTCAAGAAAGTCTTTGAAGACTGAGCTTAACTGGAACATGTGTAGCGTGACACACCAGGAAATACTGCTGCCTCTGAAGCTTTGAATCAGAGATGTGAAGAAAATGTTCTTGTATCATATCAAAGCCTTCATTGATTTTTCTGCCCAGAGTGTGCAAGGTTAGATAGATGTTCCAGGAGCTGGTGGTCTCTGTAACTCTTGCAAACCTACGGAGCATCCACCAGTTCTGTCTCACAAGATTCGCCACAGTGTCTTTGCGCAGGTTAGTTGTGACACCTGGGATGTCTCTGATGTAGGACTTCTGTTTGGGAGAGACTATGTACTCCAAAACAAAAGGGAACATAATCCCTTTTAGATTAATATCAATTCGTATGCTAGGTCGCTTTGGTAAAAGTTAAACCATGCAAAATCAGCAGTTTTGCCAATGACTTTGGACAAGTCAGGATTTTGCCGTGACCTCCAGAAGCTATAAGCAGTTCAAAAACAAGAATGTCTTAATCTCCTTTTAAGTACCCTGCTCCTCAGCTATTAAGCAGTCATATTTCCCTGTGTCCCAATTATTATAATCATTAAGAACGACTCTTGCTCTTGTATGTTTAGAGAACTCATTAAAACATACATGATTAAAATGGAAAAAGAAATGAAATGATGTTTGTGGCCTAAAAT